GGTTTCACATACACAACATATTAACCCCTCTTGTTCTCTCTGTTAGCGTTGTCCTCAAAGCTGGTTAAGGTTTCAAAGTGCCACTATGAACACTAATCTCGCCTGCTTAGTCACCATGGCACCCCAGTGTTCACAAACTTTGAGCATGGCCTGTTTTTGAGAACAGCAGTCTTGCCGTCTACCTCCTAGTGATTTCTATCTCCTTGCTTTTAAAGCTCTGGTGACAAGCCTGGAGTTTGGAGCCCTTAGCCAGGGCTTGTAATGAGATATGACAGATTTGGGGTGGGGTTTTTAGGGGAGCCGGCTGAGATGCTCTCAGGGAAATGAGCAAAGTGACAGCTGGGATGAAGAGAGGAGGAGGATTGATTTGGCCTTGAAGAGACAGCACCATCAGATTACAGACCCCAGAAAACACAGTTACATTGTAGTCCTTATAACGTCAATTTTTATTATTTGTGTAGTGTTTTTCATAATACATGAATCTGTAGCATGACACTCATTTCTGTTGTCCAGATGTATATTATTCGATACAAAAATATATAAATTAGGCTATATATATATATATATATATATACAGGTGCATCTCAATAAATTAGAATGTCGTGGAAAAGTTTATTTATTTCAGTAATTCAACACAAATTGTGAAACTCGTGTATTAAATAAATTCAATGCACACATACTGAAGTAGTTTAAGTCTTTGGTTCTTTTAATTGTGATGATTTTGGCTCACATTTAACAAAAACCCACCAATTCACTATCTCAACAAATTAGAATATGGTGACATGCCAATCAGCTAATCAACTCATTATTTAATACACGAGTTTCACAATTTGAGTTGAATTACTGAAATAAATGAACTTTTCCACGACATTCTAATTTATTGAGATGCACCTGTATATATATATGTATTTTAGAGAGACACACCACATGACATTTATCTAGTCATAAAATCCATTTATCTCGGATATTATAATACCTGCAAATAATACTTATCTTTAAAAAATATCAAAAACTGAATGTCAAAATGCTAAAAATTTAACATTTATGTACATTTATTTGTGATTTTGTTCAAATTTGTCCGTTTTTTTTTGTGGTCTGTCTTATTTGACATTGATCCATATGTCATTCGCCATGCAGTGTTTGTCTTCCTGAGATTATCTTTCAGTCCTTTGTCAGGTGCCAGCTTGCCGGTCAATCTGTTTTGCTCACTCCCACCTTTCCTTTTAGTTAGAGGCAGTAGAATCAATAATGCATGGCTGTGTAATACCCTGACTGAGCAGATATCTCAGCAGGCAGCTGTGATGATTGTTCTTTGAGGACCAGCAGGTATTATTCAACACTGTGTTTGATTCTGTCCTATAATGAAGGTCCCAGCCAGCGCTTTGCAGCGTGCTCACCGACAGCTGTGTCACAAAGACTGCCATGAAGCCATGAAATTAGATAATTATTTAAAGGGGTCATATGATGCGATTTCAATTTTTCCTTTCTGTTTGGAGTGTTACAAGCTCTTGGTGCATAAAGAAGATCTGTAAAGTTGCAAAGACTAAAGTCTCAAATCCAAAGAGATATTCTTTATAAAAGTTAAGAGTCAACCACGCCTACCTAAAACGGCTCGTTCTAACTCGCCCCCACATGTCTACGTCACGATGTGGGAAGATTTGCATAACACCGCCCAAATGTTCACGCAAAGAAAGAAGGCATAACTTTTATTCTCGCTGTAGTATTGTTGTTGTCGTGAAGGTGCTGTGTGTTTCGTTGTGAAAGCAAAGCTACTTTGTTTGGCCTTCCAAAAGAGGACTATTCATATATATACAAAAAGTGTTCAGTCTGCCTTTGGAGGTGGATATGGAGCTAAAGAGATTTTTTACGGTTTTTTTTTTTTCCCCCAATTATTTTTAACTTTGTGTGTATGTGTTTTCCACTCGAGCTATTTTAAAAGATCTTCCCATAGATGTAGAACAGCAGGATGGCCAGAGAATTGGTAGCACAGTGTTTCTCAGACTTAGGAAATGTTTTATGAGCCCCTGAGACAAATGCAGAACATCTGACTTGAGTTTCCTTGTGAGTGTGGTTGGATTATACTCTTCCTGCTCTTGGTGACAGTGATGGCGTTTACTGCTCTTCTCAAATCTTTACTTAAAGAGCAGTGAATTTAATTTATATTTCAGCTGATTCTGAGTTAATCAGTTGTGGTGCTTGTTCTAGCTTGTAATGCATTTAGCACAAACTGTTCAGGTTATACTCTAATATTTAAGTTTTACTTTTCTATCAGAGTCTTGCTTAATATGCTCCCATTACATCTATGCCTCTGTTTCTTTCCCTAACCCACACAGCCCTGTTGGCCTCATGCCCTTCACCTAACCAATCAAAGTCTGAAGTTTTGACAGCTAAGAGGGTTTGGTTTGTATATAGACATGAATGAACACATATTCAGCCACAAGAACATCAGAATCACTCCAACACTATGATCTAGAAACTTGCTTGAAATTTGTAAAAATGCCAAAAATGCTTGTGTGCACCACATTTACATAAATGCTGGTTATCATGCTGTTTTCCATCATTTGGTTATCATTTGATGAATTACTGATACTATACAGCTGTAAAACTGTGATATAATCCTATGACTTTTGACTAGTATTTATAAAGCAGAATAAACCATGAATATAAGTTTTATTTTATATTTAATATGAATATTTTATTTTATTTTATTTTATTTTACCCACTAGGCACATATACATTTTTTAGGGATGCCCATACACAAATCTGCATATGCATTCCTCTGTTTCCTTTGTGTCTGTATTTATCAATAAAAATGAAACATTGAGCTCATAATTGCATTATTAGGCCCATGTAGGCTCATTGACCATGCTCTGTCTGTGCGTGTTTGTAGACGCTTTGCTTTTTGCTCAAATTACAGGACTCTCTTTGAAAGCTGAGGCATTACGATGTGGCACTGACTCATTTCCTATAATCATAAATTATACGGACAGCAGAAAATTACATGTGTCAGTGCAGTGGTATCGACACATGTTGGCATGCCAGAAAGAAGGCCCGGGTAGTTATTATCCCAGACGAGGGCTGCCTTATGACATAATCATGTAAAAATCATCACAATGAGTCATATGAAGTGGGAAAAGCCCAGTCCTATAGTCCTGGGATGTACTGGAGTGAACTTTGTTGTGTTTGACTTGACCAAGACACAGAGGCTGTGGAAATCCCACTTCTGTGTGATGTCAGAGTGAAAGTGTGCTCTCAGCGCAAAAGCACAATAGAGTCGGGACAGCTGGGTATCATAGCCCTGGGACTGTCACACCCCGCTGTTCTCCTCTCTTCTCTGGGCTGGAACAGTTAGAGCATATGGAGGCAAAAGTCATCAGATTTCTTTACAGCAGGAAATGCAAAGGTACTGTTGATTCTTGGACATTCTTGGGTTTTTTTCTCATCACTCGTGACACTGGTTTGACAGCTAACTCAAGACTTGCCATCAATACATCAACTGAAATGTGATCCTGCAGCTGTAAACGATGAAATAGGTGCTAGTTTATAGTTTTTAATGTTTTGATGAAGGACTTTGCATTGCTTTGAATAATTGAACTGCTATACAACTGCTAAATTAGATGGCTCTGCTGTATCGTATCATGTTTTTATTTATTTATTTTTTATTATTTCAGTATGCAGGACAAGTAGGTCCATCCATAGTTCCAGGCTTCCCAAGAGCTCACGTTAAAATCGTAATTCAATATTTCAATAGGCTGTCGGGATTGAGTGGAGTAAATTAATTTGGAGCCATGCTTGAGTGCTCAGCGGATGTTGGACAGGGAGAAAGAGAGACAGAGAGAGATGCAACGGAAATAAAAAGTGATAAGATTGGATAAACTCTCTGAAGATGTGTGTGTGTGTGTGTGTGCGCATGATGGACCTCTGCAAAAAGATCTCCTGATATTCATTGTTCTTCTGTCTATTGAAAAATGTTAATGCACCACTTTACTTAATGATAATCATAAAATCTGTTCTTTGAAACATTGTTTTTTTTGCATAGAAGGTTGAAATGTCTCTTCACCAGCTATTTTTGACTTTGTTTTGAGGAAATAGACTGGAGCCGCATAGACTAGATTGTGAAATGTGGATGATTTTTTTTTTCCCTGGATTAGAGGATGATCATGTTTTAGTGAGAAGTCCTAGATTAAATATGTGGAATTCTTTGTGTTTAATTGAGTTTTAATTGAGTCGAATAGTAATGGTAAAAAGCACTTTTTAAAATTTGTTGCATTTGCAAACAATGTCCAAAATGAGCTTTTGTCCATATGGGTTTACCAGGTATACGTATTTCTTGATTGTGCATTTTATAAAGAAATCCATATTTCCCTCTTACAAAAAATAATTTAGATGCATTTAGTTGTCAAATTACAAGAAAAAAAATTGACATGATTTTGTTCAGGGATTGTTGAGTGTGATTTTGGTGGCTTAATGTGTACCTTTAAATTGAACAAAAGTGACCGTACAGGCTTTACATTGTTACATAAATTCTGTTTCAAATAAATGCTGTTCTTTTGAGCTTCATATTCATCAAAGAATACTGAAAAAATGCAATGGTTACCACAAATTTTTTTTAAACATTGGTAATTATAATGATTACTGAAGGATCATGTGACACTGAAGACACTGCTGAAAATTCTATTGTGCCATCATGGAAATAAATTGCATTTAAAAATGTATTACAGTGGAAAAGTAATTTTGATTGTAATAATTAACAGTAATTACTGTATTTACCATATTTTCTATTAAATACATGCAGCCGTTAGAGACGTCAAAAACACTTAAAAAATCATACCAACCCCAAACTTTTAAATGTTAGTGTATAGATAGATGATGGCATTTAGTGTGCGTTTTTCAGTAATTCTCCAAATTTTCCAGGTGGTTCTGAACACTTTTAGAATGCATAACCAGAGTGGGAAGTTCTGTAATAACTCTGTTTCTTCTTCTCCTCCTCTGATTGGCAGAGATCCGAGCCCAGTTGGTGGAGCAGCTTAAGTGTTTGGACCAGCAATGTGAGCTCCGCGTGCAGCTCCTGCAAGACCTGCAGGACTTCTTCCGCAAGAAGGCAGAGATCGAGATGGACTACTCCCGCAACCTAGAGAAACTTGCCGAGAGGTTCCTGGCCAAGACACGCTACACAAAGGACCCTCAATTCAAGTAAGAGAACATTTGGCCGTGTTTCCAGCTGATACATCATAGTCCTGTGATCCGTGCCATTACCTGGGCGCAGTTTGAAATCAATACGTTTATTTTTTCTCTTCTCACACTCTTCTGATTACATAAGTGCTGTTTTGCAGTGAAAGTTGAGACGGTTGAGTAAACTCTCACCAAGGTCATGTGATATCCAGTCAACAATTCCCTTTAGGCTTATTCAAGATAATTTAATTCAAATCTTTGGTAACAACTCATAACCATCATATTTTAGCGTGTAGGCTTAAACAGAGTCTCCTTATTTGTCAGAATGATGATGAATCAGCTTTTGACAATGTAAAAACAGTTTTACAGTTTCACAAGACCCCGCTGTTATATAAGAGGCTTGTCTCATATCTCTGATGAGATAGCAGCAGGGATTTTGATCGTGGAATAAAGTCAAACATTTTCTTCGAAGTCCTTGGTTCTGCTCCAGTGACCCATATTTGATCCTGATTCTGTAGCGTTTAGAGTTATTATGCCGTATTATGAAGAAACAGCTGGTGTAACGTTAAGAAAAGCAAGTAAAGTGGAGCATTTATGTTCTTACTCAAGCTATAAATGTTTATTTTATCCTGTATACTTTATCCTATTGACTGCATTAGTTTATAATGCTAATTTTATTGTTTAGCGTGAAACAAAACAAGCTTTTGAATGCCCTAATGTCATTTTTATACATAGGGCTAGACTTTGAACAGGCTTTTTAAAGCTTAGTTGCATAGAAAGGCAAGTGGCAATTATGCTGAAGACCTGGCATTAAATTAATGCAGGTTTCCCGATACTTACTAGCGAGCTTTGAGAATGATGCAGTCTCACTGCAGTCATTATGACAGGATATGCTGTCAAAGAGCCTATTAATCGGTGTTATATACTGTCTAAACGGATCTCTGTGGTTAGATGCTTGGATCCTGTTGGATTCAGTTTGATCTTGTGAGGATGTGGTAACCTCATTCTCAAAGAATAACAAAGAAAAGCTTAAAGACCAACTAAAAGTTAAAGTTTGAAGTGTACTTCCTTGCCCTGGCTTATGTGTGAATTATGACAGAGCCTGTATGTCTTGTTAATTGAACCAGTATTTGATGAGAACCTTTATGACGGTAACAATAATGTCTTCCCGACCGCTATAAAGCAAAAATGTTGCTTGCGTTAACATTTATCAAGGTGCTTTTGTAACTCCCAACGGCCTGTATTTGCAGTGACACATTGTCATCCTTTTATGCTTGCTGTGTAAATAGGTTGGACTGAATTTGAGTTGTTTTCCAGGGTCTAGTATGCGTACCTTGACAGGTTTCTTTCTGGCAGTTTTGCCCCAGGCACTGTTTTGACATAGGGGATATCCAGTGCTTGAATTCTTCCTTTATTTAATTGTTTCTTTCATTTTCCACCTTGTCATGTGCTTCTCTTTGCTCCTTCCCTTTTTCACTCTCTGTCTGTTCACGTTATTTGGTCTTTGTATTTGCACTTGACTCTTCAGTTCCTAATATAATGGTTTGAGTGCTAGAGGCTGGGTCTGAGAAAGTCAACATACAGCTCTCTGACAGCTTCTAGAAATAATCAATAGATAGCACATGTTTTTTTGAGAGCAGTTTTGTGTGACAGCTCTGTGCTCTATCAGACCATGGTGCACATGAGACCCCTGTGTACCTTAGACCCTGGGGGAGGTTCAGTTTCAAATGTAGACCTATGCTCTAGTGCAGGGGTCACCAGACTCGGTCCTGGAGGGCCGGTGTCCTGCAGAGTTTACACACCTGAACCAGCTAATCAAGGTCTTACTAGGTATACTTGAAACTTGCAGGCAGGTGTGTTGAGGCAAGTTGGAGCTAAACTCTGGAGGACACCGGCCCTCCAGGATCAAGTTTGGTGACCCCTGCTCTAGTGTAATAATCATTTTTGGTCAACAGCAATATATGTCATAATGTAGACATTTTATAGAATAATGATTAAGAAATGACTGAAAAAAGCTAAATAAGATATTAATTGTAATAATAGTGATGAAAATAAACTATTAAATTATAATATTTTTAGTTGAACATTTTAAACACATTTGTCAAAAATTATGAAAAATGACTCAATGACAAAATATTGAACTAATGAAGTAAAAATAAAATGTATTAATATTAATCAATGATAATAATAATAATAATAAAACAGAGATTATATTTGTTATTTTTATTTGAACAATTATAAATATATAATTATATAACAATAATTGTAATCAAGAATAATAATAATATTACATTATTATTGGATAATACAAATTTATAAATTGTAAATTTTATTTGAACTATCTATCAAAAATAAGGGTCATTGACATATAAGGATTTTCGACAGGCAAATTTTTAAATGTAGTTGTTCAAAGATTAAGAATGTTGTGTACACATAAATTCATATAACAATTTTAAATCAAGTGATTTTAGTGTTTTTTCATCTAGGTGAATCAGCCGTAGCCATAAAAAATGTAATGTGGTGCGACCATGATTTATATTAAAATTAATTAATTTCCTTAACATGCTTAACATATTTTTAAGAGGTTCTCAGTAATTAAAGTGTTTAGAAAAAAAGTATGTGTTTCTTTTGAGTTTTTCTAAATAATGATCTCATATTTTTGTTCTATAATTTCAGAGTTGTTTAATTTGATAGTTTCAGAGACTTATTTTTTCTGTTAATTGCATAAAACTGATAAAACATTTTAAAAATACCATTCACTTAAGTATACTGTAGCAGTGATTCATATTTCAGGCACAGAAATGAGATAATGTATTTTTAATTTAATACAATTATTGCTATTATTGGTTGCACCACATGATGAGTGGTCCCTCCAAATGACAGAAAGACCTTATATCATTAAAAATCTATTTAAAGAAAGTGTGAAAAGTGCAGCACATGGCATTAACTGCAGTCATTTTTTTAGACCCAGTTATTTCTAAACTTTGCCCAATCTTGGCTGCTCAATTGACCCTTCACTGGGAGTTGATTAACAGGCAATCTGAGCAATCATAATGCCAAATCTGCCATTTTTGTCTGACAAACAAACCAGACAGCAGAGTAGATTAACGTCGATGGACTTGAACTTGAAAAATAGTGTGTATTGACATCTTTTCACAGTTGAAACAAGATACCTTCTTTTTAAGATTTTACAATCTTAAGCATTAAGAAAACTTCTCCATCATGTATTTTGCTCTCTTTTGCTTGCATTTCCTCTCTTGAGAACTTGTTTCTTCATTTTAACATAATTTCTTGTGCTTGTCTCTCAATTTCCTCATAGCTCTTACTTTTTCTTCCACATTAGGCCCGCATTACACCATCTCTTTCTCTGAGCACCCCCTCACTACACCAAATCTGCAGTAACCCCTGCTAATGTCCTCCCTGATACCAGTGACCCCCGCTGAGATAGATTTTCTAATCGGCTCGTAATCTCATCCAGTCTAAATACCATCCCCTGCCCTCCGTGGGTCCCTTGAGCCCCTGGAATCCAGCTCCAACATCTGTATGTTTTGCAGGCAAAAGGCAACATCTGGGACGATGTTGCCACAAAGGAATGTGAGGTATTTTCCGGTCCCGCTCCTCAAGAAGAACGTAGCTGTCGGTGAGGCCCGACCTACGAACTGAGGGGCATCTATGGGAATCTTTTGGAGACCCCTGATATACTGCTTATGTTCTTACAGGGTAGAGTTCAACTCAATGCCTTCCGTTCTACCACTCAAAGGTTCAAAGGCTCCTCTATGTGTGGTATGACAGTGTGCGTCATTTGTTCAGCAAGCCAGCAGGAGGCCCGATGACGAGTTGCCCGGCAATGAATCGACATCATGGTTAAGAAACACGCGGTCTGGAATGATAACACGCCATGGTACTGACCGAATTTCTAGCATGCCTGATTTTCTACAAATGGATTGAGTTGATACAAAGAAGCAACTGAAACTCACCACAACGTCTGGACTCATGACAGATAAGAAGGGTGGTGGTTACACTGGTGCCACAGAGGAGCGGTGATGTGTCATATGCTTAATGGTCCACTCTGCAATTACACTACAAACCAATTCTCAACTTTTCCCCCCTAGTGGTTATGGTCAATGGTGGTTTCGTCATTTCAAAGTTTTTAAAACGTTGTCATATGGTGTTACCACGCTTCCTGAATTTCGTAGTCTAACATTTTAGTCCAGGGTTATCCAATCCTGTACAAAGAGGGCCACCTTCCTGCAAAGTTTAGCTCCAACCTGATCCAAAACACCTTTCTGGAAGTGTCTAGTAACCTGTAAGAACTTAATTAGCTTGTTCAGGTTTATTTAAATAAACCCTGCATTAATGGCACATTCAAGTCCTCTTGTATTTGAGTTAAGAAGTTGTAATTACAACGTCAGGTGCATTCAAGTTACTTTGGCGATGTACCTTTTCTACAGCAAGATTTTTAACTCTATTTCTTCAAAATTATGTATAAAGAATATGCAGGAGGTGCTTTTTATGGTTTTATTGAATTTATGAAGGTGCTGTAAAGTAAATTCTTGTACATTCTATCATAATGGTACAATACTATCATATATTGTACATTCAACTTAGCTGGTTTTATTCTAAATTTATTTTTTAAATGTAATTTAGTATATTTAAACAAATTTACCATCAACTACAGAAATCAACAAATTTACTGACACTGGACTGTACACCCTTGTTTGTCTTTTGGTCAATAAACTTTTTCTACTTTAGACTTCAATATACAAGTGTTATAATGTTGCCTGTTTTGCAGTATCCTGTGCCACGATAACTCCCAGCCCATTTGTGAGGAGCTCAGGGTTAGTTGACTAGAGGAAGTGAGTCCGTCTGGTCTGGTGTGTTTGCCTATTCTTCGTAAGTGTGTGACGGTAAGAGAAAGCAGGCAAGGCAAGTTTCATTTCCTCTCCAGTCTGACTAGCTTGACTGATGTCTTCCCAGCATCATGTCTGAACAGAAACCAAAGTCTTGTAAAACACTTCTCA